GATTGACTGGTGGCAGAAGTTTAGAAACAGGAATTTTTTAAAAAATAAAATGAAAGAACTTTTAGCCGAGATGTTGCTATTAGGAACCTAAACAAGTAACTCACCAAAGTAGCATGCAGGGGTAGGGCAAGGGCCACCTGGAGCTCCTTAGTATGGTTTAGCCTTGACATTTTGCAATCACTCAAAGGGAAAGGAAGCTTTTACAACCTGAGGTATTAATCTGAAGGGCAACTTGCCTGAGGTGACCCGATTGTGAACCATCCCAATGATTACTGCATGTACCTTTTACAGGGCCAGATTAAGGCCAACTGGTGCCCTAAGCAGAGCCCAACAATGGTGCCTCTTGGCCCTTCCATTGCTTAACTGACAAGATATTAAGACTCAGTAAGTGCTGAAAACTTATTTTCTGTGTGGCAGTTAGAGTTAAAGGCATGATAGCCAAGGGAAAAACTCTGTGGTGTCCCCTTGGTGCCCTAAGCCCATGCTTATTTTGCTCAGTGGTTAATCCAGGGTTGATCTTATGTACCTATGGATACTTGGACCTACTTCCTAGTCAGGAAGATATTGAAGAGATGGAGAGAAGATTGATTTTATCACAGAAGGCAGCTGATATTCAAAAGCATTTTGAACGAGGAGCATAGAAACTGATTAACTTATTCTCTACAAATTTATCTAGTTCTTTTAAAAAAGCCATTTTATAGTCAGTGGTTTTCACCATGTCTTTCGACAGCAAATCCTGTACATTAGTACCATTAAGAAATATTTCCTTTTCTCTGTTGTGAATTTCCTATTAATTGGTTTCATCGAATGAATCCAAAGGCTAGTTGTTATAAATGAAGAAATTACCCTTCTCTTCACATTTTCTCCACACCATGCATAGTTTTATATTTTCTCTTACTGCTTTTTTTGGTTCAAGTCACAAATGTTTGTAGCCTTCTCTTATAAGAAAGATGCTCCAACTCTTTTTGGCATTATTTTTAGTTCTACAGTATTCTTTCTGAGATGACGTAACTCAAATGTTTATACTATATTACAGGTGTGACACGCTATGTATACAGTGACCTTACAAAAGCTTCCTTTTGGTCACTTTTCTAATAATTGCAAGTAACTTGGTGCTGTGTTTGCCTTTCTGGAAGAATCTCTACCAAACACTTTTTTTCTTTTTTGGCAAAATCTATATTCATCATAGAGGCAGAAAGTCTTTAGTAGAAGTGAAGCAGAGAAGTTACTCCAGGTGTCATATTGAATGCTAGGATATCAAATTTGGAGCCTACATAATTGTGTTGATTTTCTCATTTGTTTTAAAGAGGGATTTGTTTCCAGATGATTCAGCAATCACCCAACTTGTTGTCTCAGGGTCTTGTTGCTTCCTTAGCATTTTCTTTGTAAGCACATATTACAGCAGAATTTGTAGATGGATGAAGAAAACATCTTAAATTCTTTGCTCTGTTTTGAACCTCACAGATAGACAAAGTATCCATTCTTACCCATAGCCCACATCTGCACCATGGACAGTCCAGGTTTACCTTCCAGAAGATTGTTGTTACATAATGTATATGAAATCTGATGAATAGTTGAAATAAGTTTTATTTCATGAGTTTTGAATACTTTGTGTATGCCATCTTGCCCTTCTCCAATCTGACACCATCCAGATACGGAATTTCAACACATCTGGATGTACCATGCTGGAGAAGACTGTGCTTTATAAATTCCTATTCTTATGCAATCTATTTTTACACGCAGAATGTTTCAAAGGGAGCGGGTGAGATGCTACACAGGCTTTATTAATCCAGCATCTCTCCACACCTCTCACTGAAGAGTTGTTCATTTGATACACTTGGCCTAGCTAATGGTTGATCTGTCTTTTGCTGATAATAATTATATGCAACCCATTATTTTAAGCCTGGGACTTATCATGCATTATAATTATTGTGATTGAATGCAAACCTATCATTTTGCAAATAATTCTCTAAGTAAATGACAGACCATGACTATTGTTCTTTATGCTGGTGCTAGCCAAAATCTGATGTATTAGATAGCAACTACTGAAAGATTTTGGTAGTTTTGTTTTTCCTCTTGACCACTGAAAATGAAATAAAATGCTGTGATTTTAGAAGTTGTCTGACTTTTATAAATCTTGGAGGCTTCTGTTAGCTTGAGCAGAATCTGAACAGAGCTTCTGTTTTGTGGAAGATATTTGGCTGATTGTGAAGCTTGGGGCTGTAGAGTTACAAGTGCAGAAGAGACTTTGCACCTCCATAAAGATGGAAAGATGATCCATGGTCATTGTGGTTATGTATTACTTCCTATCTCTAAGACAGTACAGATAAGATTTGCTCACTGGGCACTGTAGATGGCTAACAATCCTAAATAAAACATATACAGTTAAATATCAGCTATCAGTGGCAAGTACAATTTCTTAGAAAAGTATTAAAGTAATAAAACTTGGGATGGAGAATTTAATACCAGGAGGAGATTTAAATATAAACACAGGCATCCCTTAGGGGAAAGCAGGCATTATAAAGTGCAAAAGAAAGTACCCGTAAGACTCTTGTTTGTTAACATTGGTGCAGACCCAAAGATGATGGACACATGGGAGATTATCAAGTCTTAGTCAAATTGATCCATATATTATTCAAATAGAAATAAATCCTATACTAGATTAGATTAAAGGTAGGTATCCAAATTACTAGTAAGACTAATCCAACAAACACTAATAGCACTTATTCTCATATCTGACCACATTCCAATGATCTTAGAAATAAAACTAGAACACACAGATTTTTTACATATTTCTCATGACTTAATCCATATTACTGACTATCCAATTAGAGAAAGAAGTTCTGTTCCTCCTCCGCAGTTCATTTTTTTCAAATGTTAAACACCTCTATTGATAATATGGGAAGCAGTGAAAGCAATAATAAGAGGGAATGTATTAATCAGAGAAGCATAAGTAAAAAGAAAAATTAATAGTTATATAAATTCAATTACAAAAGTAAAGAATCATTAGCAGAATATAGAATAGGTTCTTCAAAGGTCTATGAACTGCTATACTGAAAACAAAAGAATTATGTATTTTAGAGACCAATACAATTTCAACAAGCTTCTGTATTCAAAGCTAAAATGTTATGAGTTTGATAATAAGTCTATTAGCAAATAAGTTGAAAAAGGCAACAAAAATTCATAAAATTAATACAAGGCTCAAATAATTGTTAATACTAGTAATAGGATTTGTAAAAATTTTCAAAGACTTATATCCATCCAAACATCCAACATTAGAGGACATAAAGAATTATTTAGATAAATTGGCATTACCAATTTTATCAACACAAGATTCTGAACATCTAGACTGAATTAATAGCAGTTTTTCTGGATTAAAAAAATGGGAAATCACCAGGCCAGATGAATTTATCAATGAGTTCCATAGAATATTTTAATTCCAGAATTTTTACAAATACATAATCTATTACATCAAAGGAGAACCTTCCTGCTTCATGGTGAGAATCTAAAGTTACACTTATTTTAAAGCCAGGAAAAATGCACAGGGGGTTACTTTGTATAGGTTTATATCATTATTAAGCACAGATAATAAATTGTACTCAAAAGTATTAGTGGATCATCTCAATTTAATTATGGCTAGAATTATACATCCAGGTCAGTTTGGATTTATTCCAAAACAAAATATATCTAGCCCTAGTAGAAAGTTAACATAATCCCTTTCTGCAAAGAAATTTAACTCTCTTAACCATATGTTCTTTAGATATATGGAAAGCCTTTGATGGCATAGGATTATTCCTTAAAAATGTTCCTACAGAAATTTGAATTTAGCTGTAAATTTCAAAATATAAGACAATATCTATCAGTCTACAAGAGCAAAAGAAAGAACCAACAATTTTGATACAAAAGAATTTATCTTAGCAAGAGGCATTGAACAGGGATGTCCCTTTCTCATTTACTGTACAGTTTAATTTAATTATTTAATTAAATTATTTAATAATAATAATAAATTATTTGCATTATGTGCAAATGATCAAATCCAGGGGATTATAGAGGGCAAAAATTATCTATTGAATTTATTTGCTAGCAATATCATCATAACGTTCTCTAATTCACACTCTTCCCAATTTATTAAAAAGAATTTCAAGAATCTCCAACTTAATAAACAATTTTAAACGATCTACAATAGTTTGCATTCAAATACTACCTTATAAGTGTGTGTGTGTGTGTGCACGTGCGCGCACACACACATATATTCAATCTTTTGAAGTTCCCCTTGAACACAAAACTTTTAAATATTTAGGAATTAATATACCAAAGAATTCAAATAAGCTATTCAATAATAATTACAGCCCTAGGTATTTTAGGCTGTAAAACAGCAATAAAGAAGATGGCTCTTCCAAAACTGATGCGTCTATTTCAAACTCTTCCAAACAGATATTTCTATTTTTTTCCAAATGGCAAAAACAAAGGTTACCTTGTTTTAACTCAAGGTACAATGGAATAAAAGGAAACATTCAATATTTGTTGCAAAATAAAGGAAGATGGGCATACCTAGCTTAACAAGCAGCTCACTTGGCACATGTTAGTCCTTTATAATGGAAGATTCAACAAAACAGTTAAAATTGAAAATACTCAATTTCAGGGTAAGAATTTAAACTTTTCTCTCCCCAACAGACCTTCATAAAATAAATGAATTGAATAATAATTACACACAAATAATGTCCTGAATATGGAGAAAGAGGCTTTCAGGATTTATTCTTGGCTTTCTTCCCTTAATTTATCATATTCCAGATTAAAATAAAGCCTAGAGTCATACAACTGAAACCATGGAAAAAGAAGAGTCTTTATATAATAAAAGTTTTTTTGTTTTTACAAAACTTCAGTACCTTGTAATTTAGAGCAAGTTCAACAATTTCTGTGGAACAAAAAGTACCATGATTTTTGTAGTGTCAGATCAATTCAATTACAAAACTAAAAAGTGATGGCAATTACAAATTAATATCTGTATCTTTTTGAAAAAAATGTTTTTTTTTCACTGAAAACATAATTTCAAAAAACATACCAGATTTTATTTGAAATAGATTACAGTGAATCTACCACAGGACTAAAAGAAGCTCAGGACTTAGATTTAGAGATGCACATATATGATAATATAAGCCTCTATGGGAGCATAGGTGATCCTTATCACCATCTACAGAAAATATGTTTACATCAGCAGCATCAAACTTTTATAAGAATCTCATATATATCTTCCAAATATTCAATGAGTTGTTGGCAAAGTTGTAAACTGAGCAAAATATTCCTTCACCTCTGGTAGAAATTTAATAAAGTTTTAGATTTTTGAAGAAGGCATTTAATGAAATGTCACTTATATATTACTAAAACTCTTGTGTCTGTAGCCTTCAACTGGGCGATACAGTGCATCATAGGGCAACAATTTTTGAACCAAGGTATCTCAAATGGGCTTACAGAATGTGTCCAAAATCCAGGGCCTATGATTCCCGTGGGACTGAAATTTGGGAAATTTGTGACCACTTCAGCAGTACTCACCCCAGGTCGTGTGATTGTCATGGGCGTATCCCCAACTTCTTTCCTACCTCCCTCTGTCCTGTGCCCAATCGACTGGTGGCAAGTGGCAAGCGACGATTGGCTGCTTTGGAAACAAGGCAGAAATTTTAAATGTCTTAACAGTGATGGGCATTGAGGGAAGGATGAGGGAGTGACTTGGATGCCTGCTGGTGAGGTAGGTCTGGCTGGGGGGTGCTGGTGGTCTACAGGTGAGCCCTCTTCCTCCCTCGAGGGGGGCCCTTGGGGACATGCCAGAATGGGGAGTGGGGGTGCAGTTTTCCTCATGGTCTGCAGCTCCCTTTGTTCC